AAAAAAAACTTGAGTTCAATAACTTTATGTAATACATTTTTTTCAACTTTCGGGCCCCAAAATTAAGATATGTCTTATACATGGGGAAATACGGTATATAACTGCCAGCCACAAATTTCCTCCATTTTAAATATTTGGAGTGGTTTCCAGGGAGTTTGAGTGGTAGATTTGTGACTAATCAACATATAGGTAAAAGTTGAAGAGTTTATGTAGAGCAGGTGGGTAAAAAGATTGGAGAATTGAGGATGGAACCCTGGGGAATGGCAATAGATAGAGGAAGCACAGTTTTTGCATGAGTCCAATATTTTTTTCTTCTTTTTTTTTTTTTTTAGTAGAACCAGAAAAATGTGATATCCACTTAAGTCCACTAGGAACCTTAGGTTTCACTTAGACCCAGCATTTCTCAGATGAGGTTTCTGAAGACAGAGAGATCAGGTCACCAGTTAGGTAATAGGACCAGATTTAACACCCAGAGCTGAGTTTTCTGTTTCCCGTCTACTGTCCTTGAGACACCATGCCTTTAGCTATTCTTTTGAACAGCATGAGATTTGGTATCATTCTCCTGGTTCAAGTCACTTGCCTTTACCTTGTGTGATGTTTGTACTTCAGTTTCTTTATATGGAAACCTAGTATATGGTATTATTTACCATCATAGGTCATTGTAACAATTAAATAAAAGTACTTAGAATAGTGTAATTAGGATAGTTACAATTATTGAGAAGTTGGTACAGTTCATGGTCATAAAGAATAACAGTGCTGAGATCTAAACACAATATTATGAGAGACAAGCCACTTCTTGTGAACCTGACAGATACTGATTATGTGTTTCCTAAAGTCAACTTTTTTTTTTTTACATTTGTAATGTCCTTACCATTTGTTTAATAAAACTAAATTTAATCGCAAATTAGGTTTTACTGTAGAAGTTAGTTAGGTCATTACGTTTTCTATAAAACGATTTTTACACTATTAGTTTCTTCTTAGCTCCATATATTTAAGAATCTCCATTGACTCAAATGAGCTTTCCTAATTTACTTTTTATTTGCATGATATTTTAAACAAAAAATGTTTTAAAATTTGAAGATTTTTTTTCCTGAGAAAGTCTTCTGAGTGAGTCTTTTTCCTGTTGTCATTCTCATTCTTTGTTTTCTTTTAAAATGTTTGTTCCCCCAAAACACTTAAGTATTAAATATGAATGAGGGAATTAGGAAATTGTTCAATGAAGTTACTAACTCATTCTAATTTAATAGATAACATAGATACTGATGACTTACTTCCTAGTGCGCTTGCAATTAGTACTTAGAAATTAACATTCATATTAAAAGAGAAACAAATCAAACACTTAGAGTGTAACATATAGATTCAACCAAAATCAGATATTGTAAATTTTAACTTACCTTCAGTGTCTGCTAGTCCCACTCCTACTCCCGGCTGTTTTATGGGCTCTTGTCCATTCTGCCCCATCTTCCCTCTATTTATAAAGAAAACAAAAGGTTATACTATATTCAGTTATGCTCTTCTAAGTGCACATGAGGAAGACAAGTTTGCAAAAATAAAATAATTTTATATATTCAGACCTGCAATAAATTACTTGAATGGCAAGTATAAACACAATAACATGACAGAAAATACTATATAATGTTATTTTTTCTAATGTGATAGTTTTTAAATTAAATTAACTGGGGTGACATTGGTTAGTAAAATTATATAGGTTTCAAGTGTACAATTCTATAATACATCATCTATATGTTGCATCATGTGTTCACCACCCAGAGTCAGTTCTCCTTCCATCACCATATATTTGACCCCCTTTTCCCTCCTCTCTCACCCCCTCCCCCCTTACCATTTGGTAACCACTAAACTGTTGTCTGTGTCTATGGCTTTTTGTTTGTTTGTTTTTCTTGACTGTTTGTTGCTTTCACATATGGAACATAAAATATGAGTGAAGTCATATGGTTCTTGATTTTTTTCTGTCTGACTTATTTCGCTTAGCATGATAATCTTAAGATCCATTCATGTTGTCACAAATGACAGTATTTCATCTTTTCTTATGGCACAATATTCCATTGTGTATATATACAACATCTTTATCCAATTATCTGTTGAAGGACACTGTTTGTTTCCATGTCTTGGCCACCATGAATAACGTTGCAATGAACATAGGAGTACATATATTTTTATGGATAAATGTTTTCAGATTTTTTGGGTAGATACCTAGAAGAGGGATTGCTGGGCCATATGGTAACTATATTCTTCAGTTTTTGAGGAGCCTCCATACTGTTTACCATAGTGTCTGTACTAATTTATATTCCGACAAATACTGTATGAGGGTTAGGTTTTCTCTACGGCCTCGTCAACACTTGTTATTGTTTGTCTTGTTGATAACAGCCATTCTAACAGGTATGAGGTGATACCTCATTGTGGTTTTGATCTGCATTTTTCTAATAGTGAGTGAAGTTGAGCATTTTTTTCACATGTCTGTTGGGAGAAGCGTCTGTTCAGGTCCTCTGCCCATTTTTTAAATTGTATACCATATTAATTTTAAAATGGGAACTTCTTTATAATTCCTACCTAGTTTAAATGAATACCACAAACTTCAGTGTCTTATTTGTTGCTTCATTTATCAAAGATCAGACCATTATGAAATTTTCACATTTTGCTTTAGAATTTGGGTTGTTCTTCTTTTTTTTTATTTCAAATTCAAGAAGTGAGAAGGTTTTTGTATCTTTACACTTTGTTAAGATGAATTATATAGATCTTTGATGAGAAGGGAAATTTTCAATTAACTTATAAAAATAATATTGTAATAACACAGATTTTTTTTTCTCTTAGTGGCTTCCTTATAGTTCCTTCCTGTGTTTTCAACTGTGTGCAGTGTATTGGCTTTTGAAGTCAGACTGCTTGGTTTCCACTTCAAGCTTTGCTGTTTCATGCTATGTGTCATCTAAGGTGAATCTATTTAATCTGGTAAAAACTACTTCTTCTCTTGTAATATAAGGATAGTAACATTAGCTACCATTGGTTATGAGAAAATCATATAGAAAAAAATATATAAAGTGCTTAACACAGTGTTTGAAACATCATAACATTCAATAACTATAAAGTGTTAATACACAGGTATGCATGTAATGGCTTTAGAATTCAGCTAGAGTTTGACACTTACTTTTAGTTTCAGCATCAAACTTTTTGGAAGACCAACTAAGTGAAGAATTCATGAGCACTACGGGTTCAGAATATTGATAATGTAGCAGCCAAAAGATTATAGGCCACTTCTTATTTCTTCAGTCAGAGGAAAGCTACATGGCATACAAAAGATTTTGGAATTGTCTTTTATGTACTTATAGAAGATGTTCTAAAAAAATGAAATAAAAATGCTTACGTGTTTAAAAGGGTTTACTAACAATTCTTACTTTCACAAAAATATTTGGTTTTGTGAACCCACTGAAAATGTAACCATACTTATTTCTTAAGAATTTAATGAGACTATACTACTGAAAGCAATCTACAGATTCAATGCACTCCTTATCAAAATACCAAAGGCATTTTCACAGACCTAGAACAAATAACCCTAACATTTATAAGGAACCACAAAAGGCCCCAAATAACCAAATCAATATTGAAAAAGAAGAGCCAAGTTGGAGGCATCACTCAACCTGATATCAAACTATACTATTAATACAAGGCTACAGTAACAAATTGATGGTTGTCAGATCTGGGGGAGTGATTAAGGGGGTAGGTGAAAAAGGTGAAAGAGATTAAGAACTACAAATTGCCAGTTATAAAAACAGTCACAGGGACATGAAATCCACCATATGGAATATAGTCAATAATATTGTAATAATTATGTATGGTGTCAGATGGGTACTAGACTAATCAGAGTGTTAATTTTGTAAGGTATGTAACTGTCTAATCACTATATTGTACATCTAAAATTAATATACTATTGTATGTCAATTATAACTGAAAAATTAAAAAAAAAATCCAATTATATCTTACTTGAAAACTGTTCTAAAGAGCCTTTTATCATTCTACTGAAAAGTATTCTGCACATAATGAAAGAGAAACAAATGTAAACTCAGAAATTATTTTATCTTGAAAGCCATTACACTGTTCCATGTTGACAATTCTAGGTCAAAGATTTAAATACATTTTTTAATTGTTATGTAAAAGACCAAGTGCATGCAGAAAGTGTTAGAAATTATATATATGTACATATAGACACATATAGACATATGTACATATGTGTATATATGTATATATAGTTGGCATCTGAATATATACAAAAAGTCTACTACAAAGCTACAATAATCAAAACAGTATGCTACTGGCATAAAAACAGATATATAGACCAATAGAATAGAACAGAGAGCCCAGAAATAAATCCTCACTTATATGATCAATTAATCCACGACAAACGAGACAATGATATGCAAGCAGTAAAGACAGTCTCTTTCATAAGTGGTATTGGTAAAACTGGACAGATATATGCAAAAAATGATGTTGGACCACTGTTTTACACCATGTGCAAAAATAAACTCTAAATGGATAAAAGACTTGAATGTTAGACCTGAAACAATAAAACTCATAGAAGAAAAGAGGCAGTAAACTCTTTGACATCGTTCTTAGCTATATCTTTTTGGATATATCTTCTTGAGCAAGTGAAACAAAAAGGAAGAATAAATAAATGGGGCTATATCAAACTAAAAAGTTTTTGCACAGCAAAGGAAACCATCAAGAAAATGAAAAGACCTACTGAATAGGAGAACATATTCACAAATGATACATCCAATAAGGAGTTAATATCCAAAAGTTATTAAGAACTCATATAACTTATACCAAAAAAAAACCCAAACAATCCTATTAAAAAATGGGCAGAGGACCTGGATAGACAGTTTTCCTAAGAGAACATACAGATGGCCAATAGACATATGAAAAGATGTTCAGTATCATTAATCATCAGGGAAGTGCAAATTAAAACCACCATGATATATCACCTCACACCTGTCAAATGGCCATCATTAATAAATCAACAGATATCAAGTACTGGTGAGGATGTAGAGAAAGGGAACCCTCATACATACATTGATGGGACTGTAAATTAATGTAGCCACCATGAAAAACAGTATGGAGATTCCTCAAAAAATTAAAAATAGAGGTGCCATATGATGCAGCAATTCTACTTCTGTATGCAGAGAAACAAAAACATTAATTTGAAAAGATATATACACTCCTATGTTCACTGCAGTATTATTTACAATATCCAAGGTATGGAAGTAACATAGATGTCCATCAATAAATAAGTGGATACAAAAGATGTGGTATACACACACACACACACACACACACACACACACTGGAACACAACATAGATGGATAGACATAGAGGGTATGCAGCTAAGTGAAATAAGTGAGACAAAGACAAATACTGTATGATCTCACCTATGTGTGGATTCTAAATGAATGAATGAATGAATGAATGAATAAACAAAATAAAAGAGAAACGGACCCATAGATATAAAAAGTAAGCTGATGCTTGCCAAAGGGGGTAGAAGTATAGGAGTATCATAGTGTTGAAGCCACTATCCTAGGAACAAAACAAAAACAAAAACAGAAACACTGTTTCTGTTTGTTACAGACTTTTCTGTAAGTCTATGCAGTCGTTTGATTCACATTGCTAAGTTTTTTTTGTTGTTGTTTTGTTTTCCCTGGAAAGGGTTAACTCAGAACCAAAAAAAAAAAAAAAACTGATTTAACAGTGCACAAAACTTCAGCGTGTATAATTGCTTTAGTGAGATTCAAGATAAGTAGTTTATAAGTTAAACACAAAAACCAAAACCAAAACCAAAAAAACAAACAAACCATTAACTCTTTTACAATTAGACAGGGAGAAAAGCTTAATAACTTGGTGGCATTCTCACCATTAGCAGTACACTGTACTAGTAGAAAGAGCCAAAACATACCATTACTGAGCCAAGCTCAGTAAAGTGAGGATTGTTTTAGTACTGCTAATCTAGCAGATGAGAATACTGACAAATTGCTATCCTATACTATGCCGAACTTTCACAAAATAATTATAATTTTTGGTAACTGTAATAAAATAAATTTTGATATTTTTTATTTGATCTTGAGTCATAGATTTTGTATTTTAATGGTGATAGTCAGTAGCAGTCTTTGCTTCTAGTGAAAACTGATTTTAACATTAGGTACTTTCCCAAAATGTGTATTAGGTGTATTTCTAAGATTATACAGAAAACTTTGCAGCATTATGAAGCCAAATGAAATACAAAGGAAATGTAACTGTGGGTCCTGTGAAAGATGCAATTTTTCTGAATTCCCAGTAAATAATCTTCAGCTCAGAACATTCTGACTACACAATTTGTAATTTATATTTGTTAATCAGTCACCAAATATGTATTGAGCACTTACGTTAGCCCAAGAAATAATGTGTTAGATGCAACAGGGCATATAAAAGAACTATCAAATACTGCTTTAAAACACATCCTATAATACTTTAAAAGATAGAATTATTTTGTGTGTGCTCATGTGGCAAAACAGGAAAATGGGAAAAAACAAAATTGGAATGTGGTGTATATGTAAAAAATACATAATCTAGTTTCACTTTGGACATTCAGATATTGAGGATAAAATATGGTTTACTCTCTGAAAGTTATAGCTTTATCATCAGTGTTAAGTTATTTATTTTGAAAAGTACAGATAAATTGAAAGGATGTTAAGTAATGTGTGGTACAAAATCTTTATGCTTTCATATTATATTATAATTTAGAGAGAGGCATTCAATGAATTTGCTGAAATTCTCTCAGTCAAACTGGGTCATCAGAGGTCAAGGGCTAATGCGATCAGACTCCTTTTAGAAATAATTTTCAATAAAAAAAACTGATTAAGTACAAATAACTCTACTGATCCATAGCCTAAGCCTCAAAAAAAAAAGAAAGAAAAGAAAAAGAAAATTGATGATCAAATAATTAAAGTAAGAAAAATATAACTTGAAAATCACAAAATAAACACATTTTTCACTTTAAAAATCCATTTTCCCCATTATTTTGCTTTTGTTAATTGAGCCATTATCTAAATAGTAATACTATTCTGGGGATCAAAAGGCAAAGATTTATAAAAACTGTGACATTAAAACAAAGAGAAATAGACGTTCCACTCTCAGAGAAGGCTTCACTCAACATTGGAGAATATGAAAAAGACCCTTTAACAAGGTTCCCAGACAGAGGTTCACAAGCTCTTTCTGAAAAAGACCAGATAATGGATGATTCGAACGGTTTCTGATGCAACTACTCAAGATTGCCCGTTAATGCACAATTAGGAACATATAAGCGAACGGGTGTGGCTGTGTTTCAATAAAACTTAATTTATGGACCCTGAAATTTCAATTTCGTATAATTTTCATGTGTCACGAAATGCTATTTTTCTGTTTTCTTTTTCTTTTTTTTCTTTTTCAATCGTTTAAACATTCAAAAGCCATTTTTAGCTCACAGATCTTACAAAATCAGGCGGCAGGCTGGATTCGCCCTGGCCTAGATTTTGGAGCTGGGTTGCCTGGTGGTGTTTGCGAAAACCCGGAAAACTAGTTGCTGGGGTGGAGAAGGGACGGAAGTTCAGGAAGTTTTGATTTTGATATTGGAACAGACATAACCTACATATTTATCTGGGATGCTGCTGAATTTTACCACCAATATGACTAAATCCATTCTAACGCATTCTAAACACAATCTGCTTTAGTTTGGCATTTGATTTGCAATGTGATTTTCTTGAGGCTTAACATATTACCAATGAACGTCACTTCAAGATTATCTACTCAGGGACTTATGTACTGCTTGCTATTTGTTCTAGAAAATATTGAAACACTTCAAAAATCTTCAATTCTAATTGTAGTGAGATTCATAGTTGAAAAATCATGAATAGCTTAATGTGTTATATCAATATATTTCAAATATGACATATGAGTTTTTTAAATGTTTCAATTTATCTGTATCTCAAATACCAATAATGTGGGTTTTTTTTTGGTGATTATGTGATTAAAGCATGATTCAGGCATGGCTAAGTTATTTTAGCGTTTTTTTCTCTTAAATACAGATTAATTAAGTAGTCCTGGTAGTGACCCACATTCATCCTTAGAATTAACTAAATTAATCCAGTCTTTCCTGAACAGTCTATTTCTTTTATGTGGGTATGAACAGTTGAAGTGCTTCAGGGACAATGACTCAGAACGGATAATTATGTAGTTATTTCCTGTTCAATGCTAAGAAAAACTTACTCATAATGCTGTTAGCTTTGTAATGAGAAAAAAAGAGCCACTTACATCCTTGGAATAGGAAATAGATTAGTCTCCCCTGCAGTGGTGCTGCTGCCTTCACTGTCCACGCTATACCCACTGCCAAAGCTGCTGCCCGAGGAGCCGGTGGACACGGAGCTTTCTGCAGGCCGGTGATTGGTAGGCTTGGCTGCATGGTGTGGGAAGAGTCAACATCACAGTCAATCAGTGATACTCCTATGAATCTCCAAATGCATCATTATGCGTTTTCTTCATTTGCATGTATAAGGAAACAGCTCTAGCAAGAATTCCACACTCCTTAACCTGCCTTTCATTTTCTTTTCCTTAACCAATAACCCACAGAAGCAACGCTAACATACTTGATTGCTTTTCTTGGACATAAAGGAAAAATCAGTCATGTTTAGGGATAAACCATTATATTTTTAGACTGAGTTAAATAGTATGCAACTGTTCTATTAATAGTATCTGTGGCATATTTGTACAGTATTGCAATAATGGTATGGCAAACAAATACGATTTTTGGCTATTTCATGGAGAAAGGAGTTTAGAAAGATTGGGTAGATAGAAATAGCAGGATAAGGACAATTTCTTAGTTATTTTCCATATTAATAACTAGTAATCTGTTTTTCTCTTGAGAAGTGAAGATGCAAAATAGAATAGATAATTTCAAGACGTGATTAAAAATTCTGTGCTTATTTGTATGTTGCTCTACCAACTATCTGACCCAGCTGGTTATTCAATTTGAAGACATTTGTTTCCTTTTAGGCATTTCTTACTTGATGACTGGGACTTGTTTTAAAAATTTCATGAGTTTGAGTTTTTGGATGTAAGCATTCATATTTCCATAGAAACAATTCTGTGTTGTAATTATGCAGAAGTATAGTACTAATGTTGTTAGTAGAGTTCTAGATTAGTGGAGCTCTAGGTTAAAGAAGAGAAGGCAAGTGTTTCCTTATTTTTGCAGAGGAAAGCTTCTCAAGGCAACTTTTTGAAATTGTTATTTATCTTCAGCGGTATGGTCAGAGCATGAGCCTTGATCATATTGATGTGGTTTGGAATCCCAACTCATTCTGGAGTAAATCTATGAAGTCTCAGTTTCCTCATTAGAATATAATGGGGTCAATAATTGTCTATCTCATTAAGTTTATGACTATGAGGAGTGAGATAAAGCAAGAGCCCAGTGCTTTACTCTTTTCCATGTTCCACATACCCCCAACCTCTTTTTTAGGGCTCTATCGTCAGCAACTGTTCTTCGAGTGTTGACATCTTGATTGGCATCTCTAGTGTCTTTGAGTGTACGAGTCCCTGACAATGATTTTGCCTCGAGTCTCTTCTAAGGCTACAAAACTATGATTCTCTCCTCTGTAAACACATCTCTGTTCAATCAGGAGTTTTTTAAACATTTGGATAGATTCACACTACTGTGTGAATAGTTGAAAATTGTTTAATGACCCTAAGATATCTATTTTCTTAAGGATCTATGCACACACACAATGACTTCTGGGGTGGCGGAATTTGAATATAATCATTATAATCAAATAAGTAAAAACCATAGACCTTGTGAGGGAAACCTTTTGAGGGCAGGCAAACCATCATCACAGTAGTCAGGATCAAGTCTTGCAAAAGTTACAGCTTTTCCCCATTTCTTTCCCTCTTTCATTTCAGGACAATGGATTTTTATAATATCTATGTCAGTGACAGTAACTCACTTTTTCAGAATAGTAAAAAAGAAAGAAATGTTTACTAGTCATTATGTATCAGGTGTCTATAAGTTGGCAATAGATATTTAGAAAAAGGCTTGAATCCTGTTAAATAGCCAGTGACCAATGAATTACTAGTAACCCATAGAACTAGATTTGCAAAAACAGAATGAGTTATAATGTTTGTTTAATATTTTCTTCACTTTATGTAGAAGAAACCTAGATAGTGTATTTAATGTTAGAAAATAATTTTTAAAAGAGTAACTTAAAAATATAAAGGTAATATGACTGTGATATAAAATTACAAACATGTATAAAGTAAATTGAACTGTATAATCAAGCACATGAGTCAGATTAATCAATTGATTGTAAACAAAGGTAAGCTGTCACACTTCTTGATTGGCATTATATAATCCAACCAAAAAGAGTATTAATAGTTTTTGGTATGATACTGAATTAAAAAAAATTAATTTCATCAACTAGAAAATCTCAACATACTAATTTCAAAGACAAACCTTAATATACATTAATTTTAAATCTATTTTTACTAAATTAAAACTATTTTCATCCAAGAGCAATCACACAATGTATCAGAATAGCTACATTATAGAAAGGATGTCATATTTACATTTAAAACTATTCAATCTTTCGTGAACTTTGATTTTGCCTGATGCAATTTCTAGTTCTAGTCCCCTTCTGGGGAACTTGAGATGTGTACAGAATGCAAAACAGAAGAAGGGAAGAAGGCTAGAAATAAATTTAAGAAAAGAGGTTTTTCCGTCTTGTCTAGGTGAATAGAAATCTCATTTGGAAAGCCCATGCAAGTGCTGTCAGTTTAAAAGCAAACAAATAATATTTTATAAGAAATATAAAAGGAAAGAAAACCAAATCTATGGAACATATACATATATTGGGATAAGTCTCAGTTTACCTAACATCTTTGTAAAATAAAATTGAGTGTAAGGTTGAGTCTAAAAAATTTTGAGTAACTAGAAGTTAGGTGATTAATTCAAATGAATCTAGATGTTTCACAATACCTTAACAAAACATCTGGTGTTGATTTAATTTATTTTTCTTATCCTGGTATGTGAGTGTAGGGTAGAATTAGATAGACTGACATTTGGTTAGTTGCTGCAAATAAATTCAGTTAAAATGCAGAATGGACCTTGCTTTGTACTGGGCTATATCTACACAGGGAAAGCAGTTTCAGTCAGATTCCTTAGTTTGCCTCTCCAAGCCCTTTATCTTCTGCTCCTTCAGAATGTATGCCCCATCCTTCTCCTTCCCATGGAAGCCCTCTCAGATCATTCACTCTGGTTCCCTTTGGTTTGGCTTTCTTTCTCCTGAGAGTTAGCTGAGGCTGTTCTTTCCAATTTCTCCATGTTCTTTCTCCATGATAGGCTTCTTAAAAGCTTATCCTGGAACTATGCTGAAGCAATATTTAATGAAATAATAACAGTAAAGTGAATAATTCTTTCTCTTAACCAAACAACAAAAACATCTGAAAAATTTAGTAATATTTCACTTTTTATCAAGCTGTGTTTTATACAAGTCATAAATCTCTCATCAACACCATGTGATATGGGAGGGTTTTATTTTATTTTATTTTTGTCCTTACATTTCTGTCATGGAAAACTTTGGGTAATCCCATTTTTTTTGTAGGTTTAAAAACCAGAATGCAACTTTAATCTATCATACTATATAGAAACATGTGACCACTCAACCAAATGTTTTGTTTTCCCAATCCCCACAGAACTGGTTTGATTGAAAGAAATATTTAACTAAGCCCAGGACAGCATAGCTTTGTGAACTTAAAAGAGTTCATAGCAGACCATGGGTATTATATATACGTAAATATTTATTGGAATGACAATAGAAAATAGTATGTATAGTAATGGTCCATGGCAGCCACCAGAGGATGCTATTACAGGCACTGGTACAAGAGCTAATTTCACCTCTAGGTACACAGGCAGCTGGTGCGCTCTGGTTCATATGTAAGTGTAATTTCTCCATGTCTTTCTATGTTCCTAAAGGAAGTAGCATTTTAAAACATTAACACTAAATATGAATTTTCATCATTTTATGATTTCAAAACTAACACTTCAAAAATATTCTACCTTTGCTTTACTCTTCCCTTTCTTTTAATCAGAGTTTCAGAGATCATGGACCTATTAGGCTCGTGTATATTATATGCTTGTGTATTACATATGAGAAATGCTTATTTTACGGAAGCTTTGCGGTTTATTTCATAATAAAACATTTTTGGAGGCTATGTTTTTGTGTGTACTTTCTTTGTGAATTCATATTTGTACTATCAAGTACCAACTAGAAGATGTATGCAATAAATATCCGATAGAATAAGCCCTCTGCCCTAGAGAAATAAATCCTAGAATGTGGAATCATTTTAGTGACTCAATTACTGAGGGGGCATTTCAGGTAAACAATTTTATCTTCTGTGAGGCAATTCAGTCTGCTTTAAATTATTTTTTGACCTCTTCATTTGCTTCAGATGATTAGGCATCATTTTGTTTTATTACTCCACTGTGGCTAACCTTAATTAAACCTGATAGTGTGTCTTTGACTGTACATCTGTCTTCAATTAGTTTGCTCTGTTGTTTTTTTCCCCCTCTATAACAGTACTTAAAAATGCAGAACTATCACCATCCCTACCACACGATGGCAGCACTATGCTCAAAGTCTGCAGATCAGAATATAATTATAATTGTGAAACCATGGGGGGAAAAACGCTGGTAGGGACTCTTAGAGATAACCTGCTCCTGACCCATATCTTGCCTATAGAAAAACTGAGCCCTGGAAAGATTAAGTGACATGTTCCAGTTTACACACTAATTAATGAGAGAAACAATCAAAACTGAAAAATGCTAATCCACTTTTCTATCACATCCAGTTATCTCAAATTAAGAAGGTGAGATCTGTGCCTACCTCAGAATTCAGTGCTTGGAATGTATAAAGCCTTGCTGCCTTTGATGACCCATGATTATTTCATATCGTTGGTCCAGCTCAAAGCTATTTCCAAATATTTCAGGAATAATGTAGGTAGCCTGTAATTTCCCAAATTACTTGGTTGATACAGTATTGATAGTATCTTCATAGATCCAGACTATGGGATTTAAGATCAACTACTTGAAATTAAGAGAAATCAATGACTAATTCTTCTGTTTATCCTAATAATTTAGTGACAGAACTGAAATAACCAACGGGCTATTTTAGAAATTATATATATATAGCATTTTTTTTGTTTGTTTTTCGTTTTTGTTTTTTTCTTTCTTTAGCTAGCTTTAACTTCAACTTAGCTGGTATTTACTTAGTGACCTGTTTTGCTTTCTCTCTGTTGCAACTGCCCATTTTTATCTGTTATTATTGCTGTTGTTTTTGTTATTTTTACTAAAGAGATTTTGTAGTTTTATCTCATTTGTTGATTTGTTGTGAATATGTACCTAAAAATGAC